GATTCAGAGAGCTTTGAATCGATTCGTACTTTTAAACTGGTCCCCTGATTCAATTTAGATTTGGAGATTTGGCCACCGAATTGGGCTGAATCTCCTCTGAATTGAATCACCACCCGAAGCTTCGCACCGCCCTACTACGCCGTGTGCCTGTGTGCTCTGGTGCATGGCACATTGGTGGGGGGGGAGGGGAGACTTACCTTGGCTTCTGGAGGCCTTGGGGGCTGCAACTGCAGTGATCCAGCAGGGAGGAGCCTGGCTGGCAGCCAGAGTGTGGTTTCAGCTGGCCAGGCTCAGATTTCAGGCAGCATGTGCTGCTGCCACATGCACTGCCCTGCTTTTTTTAGGTGAGGGTTTTTTTGACACTGGGATCTCCTGCGCCATGTCAAAAAAATCCCCTGCACTGCAAATTAGCAGCTCAGGGAATGCCTGCATGTGCAGGGTGTGAGGTGCCACAGATGGGTTTGCAGCACGGCATACCACACGTTCCTGCTTGCCTGGATGCACCCTTCGAGGCTGGACCTTGTGTTCGTGTGCTCTGAGGAGCTTAGCATCACTGTGGTCATTCTAATGTCATGCCTGTTAGGACAACCTACATTGCTGATATGAGAAACAAAGCAAGGGAGAGAGAAACGTTAAGCCTTCCCCCCTCTCCTTCCCAAATATAGAGAATTTCAAGCTACTGTCATACATGTCAGGGGAGTAAAAGAAGAGCTCAAATTTCTGTTTTACAGGTCAACTTTAAGAACCATGGAAAAAAGGCATATTTGTTGCCTATTAAATTAGACATTAAGTTCACAGAACTCTTACCATTAATGCAGAAATGAATAATACAGTATATTTATTCTTGGAATGGTAGACTTGAAGGATCACATCATCCAAACCTTTGCACAAATGTGGAATTAATTGTTCTTAAACCACCCTGGGCAGATGTTTATCTGGCCTCTTGTGTATTACTGCACATAGACTTGGAATACAATTGATATTATGTCTCTTACAGAAAATCTACAGAGGGGAAAAACCCTTAAAACGTAGAGAATAGTACTTTATTGTATAAAGCCAATTTACAGAAGTATGGATTGTCCTTGACAAGTAGTCCTAAAGTTGACTGATTTATTCAGTCTGTTGCTGGCTTTCATCATGTGAAATATTAGCATACTTCTGGTTTCTAGAGATTCACTTATACTGAATCTGCAGACACATTTGTGTACCTTTTGTTATCTTAAATATATAGGTCCTGTATGCCTTCTTACACCAGTGATAAATGCATCCCTTTCCTTTGGTAGACTGTATTTCAGATGCTCATCCACCCTTTTTCTTTTGACTGCAGAAGTTTGTTTTAATTTGTGAAGTTCTCCACAGAGTACTTCTAACCATTGCTTAGTTCCTGACTGTTTACAGACATTTAACCAGTTAAGTAAGATGCACTTTTTGCAACACAGTGCCCTTCCCTTTTGCCAATGGCCTTTTTCAAGAATTTCACAAGTCAGACCAAAAGGAATCTTGCAATTATGGAACCCCAAACCTGACCAGCTTCTTTGTACCTAGATACAAAGCCTATGTAAAGGTTTTTTTTTTCTTTTTAAAACACATTTGTTCCATATACTTTTCTCTAAATAAAATGAAATGGTATTAGCCCCATTTCTCATATACTTGTTCAGTTAGAGGTTCCTTATACATACATGCTGTGGATGGATATGGAAAATCCTAGAAGCACAAATGTGTGCAGTTCAGAATGCAGGAGCAGCCCTAGAATAACAAATTAACATGGATGTGATGAAAGAAAACAATTTCAACTAGGAAAAAACTTCAGCAGCCCAGGGATTATTATAAATCATTCACTGGAGGCTTTTGTAATTGATACTCTTGACTTCCCTTCTGTGCCTTTATGTGTTTTTTTTTTCTTTTTTTTTCTGATGAGTTTGCACTGTCATAGCCTTCCTCCTGGTTTTGTGGTTTCTAAAACACAATAGACCTTTCTTCACACTTCATTCACAAGGGTATTTCAGGTTAGAGCACACATGCACAGTTAGATGGAAGCTAATGGACACTAACTGGTGCAGGCAAGATCTTAGTTTGGAGTAATCTAGTAGAGTTGCCTAAAAAAGTTGTTCCCCCTTCCCTGGTAATGAGAAGATGTTATTAAACATATATAAATTCAGAGAAGTGTTCCAAGAGTTCAAACAAATGGTGCTATGTGTTGGACACACACAGATTCATAGATTATAAGGCCGAAATGGACCTTGGAAGATCATTGGGTCCAGCCCTCTGCACCAAGCAGGAAAGACAACTGGGGTTAGGTGACCCAAGCAAGGTGACCATCCAGTCTCCTCTTGAAGATTTCCAGGGTAGGTGATTGCACCACCTCTGGAGGAAGCTTATTGCACAGTCTGGACACCCTAACTGTGAAGAAGTTTTTCCTAATGTTGAGTCTGAATCAATCTTCCAGGAGTCTGTGGCCATTACTTCTGGTTTTCCCCTCAGGTGCCCTGGTGAACAGTTGTTCACTGAGCCCTTGATGTAGTGGTAAGCTGCTACCAGGTCCCCTCTCAGCCTTCTTTTCCTCAGGCTGAAGAATACCAGATCTCTCAGCCTTTCTTCATATAGCTTGCCTTTTAAGACTCTCATTATACAGGTCATGAATGCCTGGCGCTTCCTGAGGCTGTGGGGCATGGGGCATGGTAACTGCCCACAGATGGCGGTGGTGGTGGCAGCGGCGGTGTGATGGCAGTGAGTGAGAACTGGCTGCAGGTGGTTGCAGTGATGTTGGCGGTGAGGGCAGGGCAAACGGGCACTGCCCGCAGGCAGCCCTGGCAGTGTCAGGGGAGTTGCGAGCGCCAAGTGGTGATCAGCGACTGGTGACTGCCCACAGATGCTGCTGGCAGTGTCGGGGTGGAGGGAGGTGGTGACCGACAACCACCCACATATGCCGCTGGCAGCATCGGCCAATCTCAGGGTGCATGGCCAATCTTGGGGCTAATCTCCCTATGCATCACCAATGATATGGGTGGCTCTTCTCTGGATTCTCTCAAGCTTGTCCACATCCTTGTTTAAGTGCAGTGCTCAGACCTGGACGCAGTACTCCAGCTGCCGTCTCAGCAGGGCTGAGTAGAGTGGAAGAATCACCTCCTTGGCTGTGCTGGAGATGCATCCATTGATGAATGCCAGAGTATTATTTGCCCTCCTGGCTACAGCATTGCAATGTCGGCTCACATTCATACTGTGGTCTATTATTACCCCCAGGACCATTTCATTTGTGGTCCTAGTCAGTTTGATGCTGCCAAACCTGTATGTGTGTTGGGGGCTGATCGTCCTGAGGTGGAGCACTTTACATTTCTTGACGTTGAATGTCAACAGGTTCTGATCCACCCAGCTTGCTAGCCTGTCTAGGTCCACCTGTCTGTAGCCTATCTTCAAGCATGACCACACTTCCCCATAACTTGGCGTCATCTGCGAACTTGGCCAGTGAGCTCTTCACCCCCACATCCAAATTGTTAATAAAGATGTTGAAAAGTACTGGACCAAGCACCGACTCCAGATCGAGTTCCTCCTCCTGGTTTGGTGGTTTGTAGCGTAGTAGACACCAACAGTAAAGGGACAGTCTTTGTCCTAAAGGGCTAATATTCCAAAGCCAAAACAGATGAAGAGCTGGGAGGGGTTAGTTGAACGTGTAAGTGAATAAACATAGTGAAGATAGATGAGTCCTGAATCTTTTGTTTGGGTTGGTTTCTTCTACTGTTTGCTGATCTTAAATCAGTTGTTTTTCCTGGCATACCCATAATGTCCCCTTATATGTGTATGGTGTTATGGGCATGCAAATGAATGTGTGCTTGTGTACATTATTGAGCATACATGTGTGTCCAGGTATACAAGTTTTGCATGCATTGTGGGGAGTGTATATGGAGAGAGGCAGAGATTTCTTAGGGTGAATATCTTTTATTGGACCAATTGCATAGTTGGGAAAGAGTTAGACAAGCTTTCAAATTCAGCACATTCATCTTCAGGTCTTGATGAAGACTGTCTTGCTTGCAAAAGCTTGTTTAACTCTATCCCAAACCAGGCATTTGGTCAACTCAGAGGCTTCACCCACAGAAATCCTCACCTCTCATAATTCCTGGACTGTCCTGGCTACACCACCACTGGAACGCTACAAGGTACAGGGAGAGAGTCTGCAGCTATCTGCGTTTCACATGCTATGCAGCACGAGCCCTCCCGTCCACACATGGCCCAGAGCAGAGTCTCCCGGTGAGCTACGCCCAGGCCCTTAGCTGCTTGCCACCGTGTGCTCTGTGGGGCTGGGGCCGTTCTGTGTTGTCCTCTGCACAGCTGAGCCTGCTCCTGGCTGATCCGGGTGCGGCTCTGGCCAGGGCTTTGCTGCCTGGGCAGCCTGTGTACATGTTTCCCCCTCCCAGGTGTGTGTGTTTCCCCCACTAGATGTGTATGTGTGTGTTTTCTGCTTCCCAGGTGTGCATTTCCCCTCCCAGGTGTGTCTGCATGTTTTCTACTTCTCTGGTGTGTCCCCCCCTTTGTGTGTGTTCCCCCCTCCCTTGTGTGTGTATTTCCCCCCTAGGTGTGTCTTTGTGCTTTCTGGTTCCCAGGTGTATATGCGTGTTTTCTACTTCTCTGGTGTGTCCCTCCCGCCCAGGTGCGTGCGTGCGTGTGTTCTGCCCTCCCTGTTTGTGAGTGTGTTTCCCTCCCAAGTGTGTGTGTGTGTTTTGTGCTTCTCCGGTGTGTGCGTGTGTCTCCCGCACACCCGTTGATGGGTGTGTGCGTTTCCCTCCCAGGTGTGTGCGGGTCGCCCGCCGGCGCGGGGCGCAGGGAGGCCGGAACGGCGGTGCGGGACGCGCGTTGCAGCCGGGCGCGGCGG